TGCTTTACTACAAATGTGTAATTTGTTCAAGGTCGGTAGTGTTGATATCTCCGTTATAAATTATATTGATGAAGCTCATTTAAGAAAATAAATTGAATTTAGGGTCCCCAGCATTAATTGGAATATTGTACAATGGATGTACTAAATTTTAAAAAATTTGCAAGTGGATTCAGCTACTTCCACACATGCAATAGCTCTCGTTGAAATTATAGTTACAAAGCTCTTAGAAGAAAATATGAAATTAGGGTCACTTGCCCAAACGGAATATTGTAAAATGTTTTTTTCTAATTTAGAAACATTTTCGGTAGTGCGCATTTCACTTGACCCATTTTTATCACAATCGAATGAATTGTATAGAAATGCATATGATAATTATATAGATAATAGAAGTGTGGAAAACGAATTTAGGGCCCCCCGCCACAAATGGAATATTGTAGAATTGTTGTATTACTTCAGAAACGTACTTAATATGTCACACACTCAATTAATATCACTATTTGTATTTGATTAAAAAGCTATCCATCCAAGCATTAGCTCTGTTTGAAATTATAGTTGTATAGCTTATATAGAAAAAACGAACATAGGACCTCTGGCTAAAAAAGGAGTATTTTAAAATGGTTGTAATCATTTAAGAAACCTTTGCGGGCGTGCGCACAACATCTCTCTAAAATTTTATCGCATTCTAATGATATAGAGGAGCACATACGGAAATTATTTTTTATAAAGCTCCTAATGTAAGGAAAAACACACGAATTTGGGGCCAATTGCCAAAAAAAACGGAATATTTTAGAAGAGTTATAATGGCTTAGAAAAATGATTTGGCTTATGGACAACAACTCACCTCAGTTTTATCGCAAGCGCTTGAATGATGTAGGAGCGCATGCGGTTTGAAATTATATTTATATAGCTCATTTTTTAAGAAACAAACATAAGGCCCCTGGCTCAACATTGAATATTTTAAAACCGTTGTAGTAATTTAACAACCTTTGTGGGCGATAGAACAACATCTCACTATATTTTTTATCGCATTCTGAAAAATGGTTTAGGAGCGCATCTGGAAATTATTTTTTACAAAGCTCATATAAGAAAAAATATGAATTTGGGTTAACGGCCGAAAACGGAATATTTTAAAAGTGTTTTAATGAATGATTAAAATGGGTATTTTTATAGATAACAACTCGTCAAAATTTTTTGCAATCGCATTAACGGTGCAGGAGCGCATACGGTTTGAAATTATATTTTTAAAGCTCGTATAAGAAAAAAACCTAAATAGGGCCGCTGGCTCAAATTGGAATATTTTGAAAAGTTTATAATAATTTAAAAACATTTGCGGCGTGCTTCCAACATCTCACCAAAGTTCTATTGCAATCGGATAAATGGCCTAGGAGCGCATATGAAAATTATTTTTTACAAAGCTCTTATAAGAAAAAATACGAATTAAGGGCCGTTGGCCAAAAACGGAATATTTTTGCAAGTGTTTAAATAACACAGTAAAATGCACTAGTGTATTTACAACAACTCACTAAGTTTTGTAGCAATCGCATGGTTGGTTTAGGAGCACATACGGTTTGAAAATATATTTATTTAGCTCATATTAGGAAAACGAACATAGGCCCCTCGCTCATAACTGAATATTTTAAAACGGTTTTAATAATTTAGAAACATTTATGAATATGGTCTCAACATCTCACAAAAGTTTTGTCGGAATCGGATAAATGGCGTAGGAGCGCATGTGGGAAATATTTTTTTTAAAAACTCACAAAAAAAAAACAAACAAATTAAGGGCCAACAGCTAGGAACGGAATATTTATAAGGTTTTTAATGTTTTAGTTAAATGGCCATTTATTTGGACAACAACTGACCAAAGTTTTGTTGCAATCGCATGAATGGTGTAGGAGCGCATACGAGACATACAGACATACAAATATTAATTTTTATATATATATAGATGTATATAGTTTATATAAGAAAAAATGAATATAAGGCCACTGGCTCAAATCGGAATATTTTGAAATGGTTGTAATAATTTAAAAACCTTTGCGGTCTTGCTCCCAACATCTCACCAAAGTTTGTTTGCAATCGGATAAAAGGCGTAGGAACGCATACGGAAATAATTTTTAGAAAAAATTAATATGTATTAGGGGCCAACGGCCGGAAAAGGAATTTTGTAAAAGTATTTAAATAACAGAGCAAAATGCTCTGGCACATGGACAACAACTCACAAGTTTTGTAGCAATCGCATGAATGGTGTAGGGGCGCATACGGTTTGAAAATATATTTATATAGTTGATATTGGGAAAAACGAGCATAGGCCCCTGACTCTACACTGAATACTTTAAAACGGTTGTAATCAATTAGAAACCTTTACCGGCATGCTTGCAACATATCACCAACGTTTTATCGAAATAGGATAACTGCCGTAGGAGCGCAGTTGGAAATTATTTTTTACATAGCTCAAACTAAAATAAAAACGAATTAAGGGCCAACGGCTAAAAACGGAACATTTTATAAGGGTTATAATGACTCAGTTAAATGCACGGTTATATGGACAAAAACTAACGAAAGTTTTGTCGCAATCACATGAATGGCGTAGGAGCGCATACGAGACAAAGAGACATACATTCATTTTATAAATATAAGAAGCTATATAGAGATAATGCACTGTACATACAGTATAAAGTCCAGTCATCTACTTTGAGAAGTGTACTTTACTTGAAATGCGTTGTGAAAAGTTATTGTATGCATTACACTGTATGTTTATTCTTTTACTTTTACAATACGGTAATGTATGTTTCTGAGATGACAAAGTTTTACTCTGAGACAATATTATACTATATTTGAGTAGTTCCAGCGTAACAATGTCTGTTGAAAATTGGTTTGACTTTTGTTTTACCTGGGTCAAATATAAACCAAGAAGATAAACAGTAATTGTAGATTCACAAAACATAAAGTATCGACTATTAAAAAATCTTGTTTTAACCAGAATGTTGGGTTTAGCGAAACAAAGTTTTCCTTCGAGGCTAATGTCTGGAAATTTTAGTTGTCCATACTAATGAAACATCCACAGGCTGAGCATTTGATTGAAACGAAATATTTTTAGATAAAACCTTAATTATATTAAAAGCAAAGGGTACCCAAGTGTCTATTTTGCATGAATCCCCCACCCACCCCCCAAAAAAAAAATTAATAAATAAATTAACATACTATTTTTAAAAAAAAAAGTTTTTAACAACTTTAAATATTTTTAATTGGAAAATTAAAATCAATGCTCCTTTGACTCCAAGGTGCTGTATAGTCGAAGGAGCTGTATCTGCAAACCGATGGCAGAATTTTTAATACAAATGTCAAAGCCATCCTACAATATGGTGCAAAAAACATAAAAGAAAACAGCCAGCATCACGGAGAAAATGCAGACATTCATAAATACATGCCTTATAAAGATCCTGAAAATCAAATAACCAAATAACATCACCAACAAAGATCTACTAGAGAGGACACACAAGGTTCCAATTGATGAAGATATCACGAAGAAAAGATGGAGTCGGATAGGTCATACGCTCCGAAAACCCCCAGATAGCAACACCAGACAATGCCTAACATGGAATGAACAGGGAAAAAGAAAAAGAGGAAGGCCTCAGAATACATGAAGGTGCGATCTAGAGGCAGACAAGCAAAATATGGGATACGCCTGGAAGCAATTGGAAAGGAAAGCACAAAACTTTGATGAGTGGAAAATTCTTGTAGACGGCCTATGCCCCAGACGGCCTAAAAAGGCATATGTAAGAAAGTAAGTAAAAGTAATAAAAGTTTTAGATTTTTTTCATATTCACAATAATCTAATTTTAAAATAAAATAATCTAAATATTGGTACATTTTCTCATCATTGTTTAATTTATGCAGAATGTGCGATTCAACGAGTTTAAAAATATCTAAATATTCGATTTCGGTTTCGATTTCGGCCGAAAGTCTCTGTAAATTGTGTGGCTTCAGCTTCGGTTTCGGACGAAAGTATCGAAAAGCGTTTGGTTTCTTTTTCGGCTGAAAGTCATTTTTAACTTTTGGTCTAGTTTTTGTGTGTCCAAATCAGAAATTATTAAAATTATTATTAGTTATCTTATTTAGCCGAGGGCTGGGCTCAACGCGCAACACATACAATATAAGCAAACATAATAATGACATTAAAAATAACATACATTTACTTAATTTGAAAAAAAGCTATAAACAAAAAAAAGAGAAAAACAAATGTTTGTTAAGCATATCAAAACTTAAACTACAAGTAACATATCACGCTTTCATTTCCTGCAATGTTCTCAAAAAAATTATCAATTTATAATGATCTGTTAAGTATTAGTCGGTGCAGGTTTGAATAAAGTGATCCAATAGGATGTGACACAATGAGTTTACCACTTAGGATGTTACAAAGCCCTGCGTGCCATCTAGTCACAGTAGTGTGTTCCTGTTTCAAGTGTTTAAATTATAATATATTTAAAATCAAATTTGAACATTTATACATATTCGATAATCAGCAATGCATTAAATATACTTATGGATTCCGCATTACACATATTTAAAAGAAGCTTTTCATGCCCTATAACAATAATAAAGAAAGAAAGTGCACAGTGACAGCAAAGTTCACCATTAGCATATACGACAATTGAGGTTTAATAGTTGATTTCAAATGATGAGCTATATATACATATATTTAAAATTTATTTATTTATTATAAAATATAAAGTAAATTAATTGTTTTATAATATTAAAAGAAAAGAAAGATATTACATAGAAAAGATATTTAAATTAAATGAATGTCTATCTCACGATTTTTAGATTTACGACGCAACTTTTTAAAATATCGTTTGAGAAAAATAAATGAATACGTAGGATTTTTTAAAAAATCGAATAAACGGTGGTACCCGATATTAATAAGTCTCTCAAATAGGCTATCGAATCAATACCAATCGATACATGTATAAAGCCTAAGGCAAAGACGTTTTAAAATTACATTGAGGATTGCGGTGACACGCATTAGTGTGTAGTGTCCTCAAAGTAAGTATATATAAACTACACATATGCTTTTAAGTGCATCAGGTATTTTCCGTCATTTATAAGTTGTGAAATACAAAATTAAATTTTAAATAGTTTAAATTTATATATTTAAATGTTTAGGTAGATTTAAGTAATTTTGATTTTAATCATGTTACGAAATGAGTTCTAACAATATTTAGCTTTTTCAGAAAATAATGAATATGTATGTATTTAATATAAATATATATATTTAAAATTTAATTAAATTAAACAATTGCTGTTTTAAAAGCTCAATATACACAAGCTTTATTGAATTACTTCTGTTAAGGTAAATGAATTTTTTGAAACAATTACTGTGTTTTATATTGAAAAGGTTACGTATTAAAAATATTCAGGAGACGTTAATTTATCTTACATTTCCAGATTTTCTTTAATTAAAAGCAATGAATTAAATAAAATTTGTTTCGCCATTTGTCATGAATTTTTAAACAATTGATTAAGTTTTAGAAACAAGCGTAGAAACAAACATTAAAAAAAATTATTGTAGTATTCAAGAAGGATTTTAATTACAGTACGATCGTGCATGGGCGCCCGCAGAAAAGTTTCTAGGGTTGGGGCAAAAAAAATCGATTAACTTTCTAGGGGGGGGGGGGCAAAAAATTTAAGTTATGTTTTAATGTAGTTTTAATTTACTGTAGCGTATTTGTATGGTGAACGAACAGACAGGACATCAGCTTAGTTACTTTCTCTTTATTTTCTCTTTACTTCAATAAATTTGTTGTCTATTTTTTACTAAAAATTGTTTATCCAAACAATCCAGGGGTTGGGGGGGGCAAGTGCCCCCCTCCCCCTGCAGGCGCCCATGGCCCATGCGATCGTGTGTTCTTTAAACTATCCTATAGTTTTTTATTTTATAATTTAAAATTATAAAAGAAAATGTAATCATACCTAATTTTAAAATGGATATTAATGTTCACATGTTTTTAATATCATATCATATATAAAATAAACGTAAAAACTATTTTGTGGGTTTCTTTGTGGCTTTGTTCCACAAATCTTTTTAAATGGATTGTTTGATCTTACTCAAACTTGGTACATATCCCCATCATTATACAGAAGAAACTCTTGGGCGTTATGAATTTTTGTAACATTCATTTGGGGGCCGGGGCCCTGAATTCTTATTTTTTCCCCTTTTATGAGATATATAATTAAATTACGAATAAATACTCCTGCATTAATAAATGGATCTTGACAAAACTAAATATCCATAAACTTGATTATCCATATTCAAATACCGAAGAATGCTGAACGCAAATATCCATTGCTTTGGGGCCGGGAATTGCTATTAATTTTTCCTAATATAACCTATATAAATATCAATAGGCCTAGACAACACTATAGTTTTTATGTGAATTGATGGATGCAGGCCTAGCGTGGGAGCAACACTCTTCGTTGTCCGTCTAGAAATATCGCTGTATTTATAACTAAAATATTCAATTTATAATTTACTAGAATGTTCGATAGTTCAAAAGCAATATCTTAATATATTTTAATTGGGAAAATTTTTAAACGTTACTCATTATTTAGTCTAAATGATTTGTTATAGGGCTCCATCTTACGTATAACTGAATCGTTTTTCCTTTTAATAGCTTTATAAATAGCAATTTGCTTGGAAAACACTCTGGCTTTAGGTTAAAGAGAATAGATGGATCCAGATTCTGATTTGTAGTATTACCCTTAATGTTTACATATAAATATTGTGGAATTTAAATCTAATAATTTTCAATCTAGAATTTTATAGAAATTTCCTTTATTTAAATAAGCCATATCTATGACATTTGTAAATGGATTTTAATTTTACACATTTTAAATTTTAACTCCATAATTATTCTAACTTATTTTGATAGGATTCCAATCTAGGGCAAAACTAATTCGATACAACTATTGAATGGTCCCTCACTGGGGTCTCTCTTTTAACTTAAATGTACTATATTTTTAGAAGTGCATTTTCGTGTAGAATTGTTAATATTCGAATAATAATTACTTAGAAAATTCTTATTTTTACACGTTGTGATGAGTATATCAGTATTAAATCTAAATGTTCCCAAGGGTTCTATATTGTTCAACGGGGATAAATAAAGGGATTTTACAGTTTTTTTTAAAATTTAGTTTAGTTCTATTGAGTTCTTTACTTTAATGGGGATTTCCTTTAGAAATATCCTTCATATTATTACCGGAAAAAAATACGACTGGAAACATGATCCCTACGAGAAGCAGAATCCTAAACGGGAATGAATAAATTGGAACTAACTGGTATTGCGCTCCCATCGATTGACATGATCAAATAGGTATACTATCAGTCGATTGATTTTCTTTTGACAAGAGGATCCCACCGGAAACTGGATGCATTGAGAAGGGATCTTAATGGGATTGGTATGCCACCTAAAAACGGTATCCCCTCTGGATCCGAACCACACCGGGAAAGATATTTTAATGGGAAACGGGACACACTAAGTATTTTCCCTTTTTTAGGATTCAACCGGTGCCGGGATAAGTCCAGTGTCGGTATCCCACCGGGCAACGGTAACACATCGGGATTTTAATCCAACAGAGATCTGGATCCTATAAAAGTCATTATCCTATTGGGATCATACTGCAAATAGGATTGGGATTTTTGGAACTGGAAACCACCAAATGAGGTCGCGATCCCTCCGGGTACAGGGATACCATCGGAAAACGGGATCACATTGGAAAACTCGATGGGATTTGAATCCTTCCGGGATTTGGATCCCACCGGTGAACAGAATGTTTACAAAAGTTATTATAAATATGTTTTAGAGGGAGAAAAAGTATTTTTTTTTCAATAGTTTTAAAAATATTTTTTACTTTGCGCTAATTTGAATGTTAATTAAAAGTATGTAGAAGTTGTTGATTTTTTCCGTATTCATCCCGGGCAACGCCGGGTATAAAATGGCTAGTAAGACATTAAAAAGGAAAGACAATATACTTAGAATGTGTGGAAACAATGAAAACTTCTGAATTATAAACATATCTTTCTATAAATAAGTAAAATGTTTTATTATGTTAATTTATTAATAAGATGTTCAAATTTTTCTCTTGCTTAACGTGTTTGATAATTAAAAGGTAAATATAAAATTTATTTTTTCACTAATTAACAATGTGATTTAAAAATAAATATTGTTAAAATGACCTAACTAATAAATACACATATAAATGAACAAAATATAATTTTTTATTTACCATTTTTTCTTTAAATTATTAAAATGTTGTTACACATTACAGATGTCCGAAACAAGTTACACGTTTGTACTGGTTGGAAAGACTGGAGTAGGTAAGAGTGCTGTGGGAAACTCGATCCTTGGACAATCAAAATTTAAAAGTAATGATTCAAGTCAGTCCGTGACATCTGACTATTCCATGAAATGTGCCCTTCGAAAAGGTTTTAATGTAACAGTGGTAGATACTATAGGAATAATGGATACGCGTTCAAAATCAGATACATCAATATCAAAAGCATGTGAAAATATGAAAATAATGATGAGCAACTGTTCAACAAATGGAAAACTCGCAATTGTTTTTGTGATTAAATATGGTGAAAGATCGTCTGAAGAGAATAACACCACGATAACGATACTAGAACATATATTTGGAATAGAATCCTTTTTTAAATCGTGCATACTTGTTATGACCCATGGAGAAAATTTTGATCTGGAATATAATGGGGAAAAAAAATTTGGTGATTATGTTAAAGAACAACAAGGTCATCTTGGAGCTTTGTTCAGCAGGTGCAATTATAAGTGTGTACTATTTTATAACCAAACAAAATCTCTACAGATGAAAATGAAACAATTTGATGAATTGCTGAAGTTCGCTCAGCTGCTAGATCATGGCTACACGAAATTTAAATTTGAAGAAGCAAAACGGGAACAAAATCGTCTGAAACTTGAATTGAAATTACCAACTATAAAAGAGGATTTTGAAATAAAAATTCAAAACATTTCAAAAATGATCAATTCCTTAAATTTAAGTGTAGATTCAACAATGGAATTGTTTTCTCTGGAGAATGAGATAGTTAAATGTATTGCCAGTTTAAATAAAATGGATGACCCAGGAAATATTTATTACACTGAATGTGAAGACAGACTTTTAGATGACATCAGGGCAGAGCTTAACAATTTGAATCAATCAATTTCCGAAATGAGCGAAAGGTGTGCAGAGTTAAAAAGGAAACATGAACTATCCTCCAAAATTCAAGATATTGCCAACAAGATTGACAATTTTAATTTAAGAGACGAAGGAAATGGAACTAAAATCGAAAATTATGAAGAGCAACTTACTGCCATTGAAACCGATCTAAATCAAATGCAGCTATCCGGTGATCTAAAAAATGAATTGTTATTAGAAATTAGAAATGCTAAACAAAAAGGGAATATTATGAAACTGGAAGAGGAACAAAGAATAGAAACGTCAATCAATGCAAAAATACAAAGTTTAATTGATATTTTGAACAAAATAGATTCTGTTGATCCAAATACCTCAGATACAATAAGTTCCATTAAAAACGAAATTAAAGATATTTTACGCACATTAGAACTAAAGGAACATACAATCTGCAAAGAGTCTATGGTCTACATTAAATTACAATTGAACAATTTGGAGGATGCTATATCTTCAAAAGAAGAACATCTCAAACAGTCAAAAGACAAAGATGCACTCGTGTCACTCATTGAAGAGCTTACAATTAATATTACTGAAACAGATCCAAATGATAATGACATATTAAATTTGATTTCCTATTTTGAAGAACAAGTTAAAAACTTGCAACTTTCAATATCATCAAAACTGTCTAATGTACAATTTACACATTTCCTAAACTTAACCTTAAATAGTTCACGAAAAGAATTAAACATTTTGAAAGCCACCGTGCAAAGAACGTTAGAAAAAGAGATACATTTGGAAATCCAAACTATGGTAGATGAGATTAAAAGTGTTGCTTTATCAAAAGGAAATGTATCAGAATTTTTAGAGCAGATAACAGCAAAAATGAACAATGTTAAAATTAGACTAGAGGCAGAAAAAGAAAAAATGGACAAGCAATTCATACAAAATTGCTTTCTCACGTTATCAAATATTGAAGAGGATATTACAAAAACAGAAGAGACGTTACAGCAGACAACAGTACTTTATAATCTTGAAAATGAAATTGAAAAATTGATAAGTGAAATAAAAAAAACTGATAAAAAAGATAAACAGCTTTGTGCCATAGCGAATCGATTTGAAGACGAAATAACACATTTAGCTAACAAGATAAAAAAAGAAAACTTTACAAGTAGACTCAATTCAAACTTAGATAAAGCCCGAAGGAGATTAGACGAGCTCATAGCTAAAGTAAAAGAAGCAAATGAAATTGAAATATATAGCCAAATACAAGACCTAATTGCAAGAGTAAACAAGATTGAATTAAATGATCAAAATTTGTTTGAAACGTTGTCTGCTATGCGAAATGAAGTATCAGATTTAAATCATAATATTGAACAACAGAAAAAGCTAATGAGCCTCGGCACACTTGAAGACTTTAATAACTCATTGAGGGATATTAACATGGACATTGAAAGAAAAGAACTGTCATTAAAACAGTTCATGAAATATTGTGAAATTCAACTACTAATTGAACGTTTAAAAGATTTTAAATTAAACACTCTTGCAAATGAATCAGGAATTAATGAAATCATCCAGAGTTTTGAACAAAATCTGAAAATAATTACTTTAATGGTGACATGTGAAGACTGCGGTGACGAGTTCACAAACAACTTGAAATCAAGACTAAACGAAGTTCAAATAGAATTTAAATTAAACGTTACAGAATTAAAAGAAAAGATGATGTATTCTAAAATAAAAGATATTAATGAACTCTTAAACAATATGGACTCGGCTGATCAAATTGTGGAAGGGACTCTGTTAGCTGTTAAAGATAAAATCGAAAACATGTGTAATAAGCTAGAAGAGGAAAAAGAAGAACTGAGCGAAACATGCATAGAAAACGTAACTTTTTCAATAAAACAATGGAAACAAGATATTACAAATAAAGAAGAATCTCTCCAAGAGATGCTTAAAGTGAATGATACGAAAGATAAAATTGAAGATATTATCAAAAGGATAAATAAGTGCAACCCAGAAGATAAAGATATATATTCTTTAATACACGCCTTTAAGGATGAAATTTCAAACATAATGATACAAGCTGAACATTTGAAACAAGCAAGTATTGATACACTTAGTGTAACTGTTGTCAAAGAAGCTAAAATTGAACTGGAAAATTTAAAGGGAAAAGTACGAGACATTAAGAAAAACGAATTTAAAGTCAATATACAGACATTTAATGACTGTTTAAACGACCTGAAGGCCAATAGTGATAAGGCAACGGAAAATACTCTGAAAAAAATAGAACAAGATATTATTATCTTCAAAAATGAAAAAGAACAAGATAACAAAATTTTGGGTATTACATTTGAGGAAACAGAATTTAATTCTTTTGGCGATTTGCTAGAACAAGTCAGTGAGCAAAAAAAAGTCCTTGATGAGCAGAATAAAGCTGCAAAGCTGAAAAAACAAATTGAAAATATTATTTTTAGTATACAAAAAACTGATCCAAAAGAAAAGGATATTAATGCAAGATTGTCTAAATTTGACGAAGAGATAAGTAGTATAATTTCCCAGAAGGATAATTTAAAGCGCGATTTAAGAGAAGATCTTGAAAAATATTGCGCTCGTGCTGAATACGAACTAGATAAACTGAACCAAAAAAAAAAAAAAAGAAAATAAATAATTAACTTTGACAAATCTTAATAGTATTAAAATAGCACTAAATAGATTTTATATTAAGCGTTGTTCTATTTGGTTCTGATTCGGCTTTTGTGTTTGTTGAAGGTTCAAGTAGAGAATTTCAAATAAAGAAATTACTTTTTTCCCAGAAGATGCGAATCAATAATAAAAGTAAATTTTCTCAACGAAATTTATAATCATAAGACACATCCATACTATTATTTACCAGGACGACAAAAATTTGAGATTTAATAAATGTAATTGAGCAATAAATGCATTTAATANTTGAGTTAGCTCAAACAGTGCGGTACCTGGGTGTCTACCTAGATAGAAGACTAACTTTTGAAAGTCATATTAACATGCTATGCAGGGCGATTTTTCTGGAGCTGCGCAGGATTAGTCACATCAGGCCCTTCCTAACAATTGATGCAACAAAGAGGCTGATGTCTGCATTTGTGCTATCACGCATGGACTATTGCAATTCTCTCATCGTGGGTTTCCAGCTACGCTCCTGTATAAAATTCAAATAGCACAGAATAACGCGGCTCGCATTGTTCTCCGCAAACGCAAGTTCGACCACGCAAAAACACTTCTGAGAGAGCTGCACTGGCTGCCGGTGCGTGCTCGCATAGAGTACACAATCGCAACGTTGTGCTACCGCTGCTTACATGACCTGGCGCCGTCCTATCTGAAAGAGCTGCTTACGCCTTATGTACCCACTAGAGAGCTCCGCTCATCCGATAGTGGCAAACTCTCGACACCACGTGTTTGCCTTGAGACTTACGGAAAGCGCACTTTCGCATTTGCTGGTCCAACAATTTGGAACGCCCTTCCTGTCGATCTCAGAAACAACCAGACACTGGAGTCCTTTAAAACCAATTTAAAGACACACCTATTTCGCAAACACCTTCTGGGATGATTGTCAACCTTATTTTCCAGTTAATGCATAATGGCTGTGTTGCTTGGGGTTGAAATGGCTAGAAAGACTTTGCAATTGTATGCTAGTAATTAGTTTTTGTAGTGTTGCGTTTGTTTTAAATGTGGTAAATTATAGATTTGTATTTCGTTGACTTTGTACCGCGCTTCGAGCCTTTGGGGATGAAGCGTGTTTTTGAAATGAACTTTATTATTATTATTATTATTATTATGTTGTAGTGATCAGTTTCTCTTAATGCTAATACTGAAAAAAGCATTTAATGCAGAGAAATTTGATCACATTATAATAATTCAATAAATTAAAAAATCCGTAAAAACGTTTTATATGTATCGATATTTCTCTACTCTCTTTTTCATGTCTCTTTCTCTCTCCCTTCTCTCTCCATCTCTCACCCTCTTTTTCTATCCATCTCTCTCTCTTCCTCCCTCTCCTTCTTTCTATCTTTTTCTCTCAGTGCATATATATATATATATGTTTTAAAATATAAATATCTGTGTGTGTGTGTGTGTGCTTTTGTAAGTGTTTGATTGTATTTGTGCTTGTGTGTGTTTGGATCCAGGCATTTTTACAAAATGAGTTCGTTTCTCCTTCTCTTTTTTGTCCCGTTAGCCAGTGACTTACTGCACAACTATAATTGTGAAAGTCAATCCTACATTTTTCACTTGGGGACCTTGGTTTAATTTATAACTATGTCAACCATTTTAATATATGTAATCCTTTTTGCCAGTTATTCATTTTGCACATTGGAGATCAGATGCTTTTATTGATAAAAGTAAATTGAAATCAATTAAATAACATTTATGTGATATTTTAGTGTGTAATTTCATTGTCCGAATTTTTTGTTATTCCGAAAAATATGCATCTAGCCAGGCTTAACTTGAATCATTGTGAGATCACAATAGCTTTTAAATTCTTGAGTATACTTTGCAATTTTAAACAAGATAAGGAAAATCCAAATTTTCACGCCGATTTATTTTTGGTTGCTTTTATTTTTTTACAAGGTGATGGATCATATTTTTTTGTTACACATCTCACAGTAGTATACATTTAAAAAAAAAAAGAAATGTAACTTAAAAAACAAATTGCAAATTTTAGCGATTCGCCTTCAGAGTTGTGCCCCAGATATAAAATTTCAACGAGTTCTATCCATTGCCTGTTTGTCACCCGTTGTCATAGCTTTTAGCCAGTTGCACAGGTACAAATACCAATGAAAATACCTGTTTATGTTGATCCTGCCTAGACTTAAGTCTACATTAAACACTTCTTTGATGCGTACACTTGGCCTCAAAGTTTTAAATATCTTCCGCTTTCAATTTAAATTCTTTATATTATCAACTGAAGAATAAATATATTATTTTAATATTTTTTTTTCTAAATACGTAAATTTGTTTAAAAACGTACATGTAAATAAAATCTATACTGCATTTTTCAAAACTGACATACGTAAAACAAAATTAAATTAACAATAATCTAGCTATTCATTTTTTCTTTTATTTAAATATACAATCAGAGTTGCCTTTGACAATAATTAATTATTAGTTTCCTATTTTAAAAAAAATAAATTTGTATATACAATAAAACTATTTCCAATTAAAAAATTTTCAAATCCATTAAGTTAAGATTATGCTTGAGTGTTAAAATTATAAACATTTTTATCAATGAAAACACGTAATAATTATTGTATCTATATTTCAGAAGTTATAATTATAATACGTAGTTTAGATTTATTTTCTTCCTTAATGAGCTTTTTTAAAACATTAATTTTTTAGAACATGTATCATGTATTCATAAAATTGTAATAATTATTTTTATGAACTCAATGCTATCTATCTATCTATCTATCTATCTATCTATCTATCTATCTATCTATCTATCTATCTATCTATCTATCTATCTATCTATCTATCTATCTATCTATCTATCTATCTATCTATCTATCTATCTATCTA